CATTTATTAAAATCATATCTTCAAGGAACATCGTAAAAAATATGTTTTCATTGTTAACTCAGAGGGAAAGAAGTATTATTTTGTGTAGTAGTGGGATGGATCACTTGGGGGTATTGGGGGAGGGGATTATGTGTGAAATCCTTGGCAATTATCAAACAAAATAATAAAGTATTGGGTTTTTATGACCTCATAGACAACTTTGTTTTCAAAAGAAATTGACATGCTTGGCTCCTCGTTATTGTTAGTTTAGCTACCCTCGTACCACATCAAGTTATATATGCATGAGGGAAAATAGGTTGTTTCAACTATTAATTCCACTTGCAATTGTTACATACAGACCATATGAAATTTTGGTTTCCAATTCAGGGATGGATTAACATAGGGTTTTTTTAAAGATTTTATATTATTAAGCTTTGTTAGTTCGGCCCTGACAATAACTCCATCACGACTCGGCTTTTACTTTCAATATGATGATCTTGAGTACGTACAATCATCGTGTATCATTGATAATATCAAAATATTGCCCAACCCTATTTACTGGTGATGAAGTGGTAATGCTAAACCTGAGGGGGGGGGGGGGGTCTAGGTAAAACACAGAGGTTAAAATAAATCCATAACATGGAGGCCTGTTCAAAACTCCTAAACCTCAAATACAGAGGACTAACCAAGGAGCTAGAACCTGAGATCCCCATTGGCTAAATAATTTTCATTAAAAAATTATTATTAAGCATGCATATTTCACATATTGCTATTTTAAGCAAAAGTGAAAAGTCTTACACATTTGGCAAAAACAAAGAGTAACTTAACTCTTAATACCAACATAAAATATATTCGTTTTTGGCAAAACGGTTAGACGAGGGCGGTTCAGTTCATGTTTCCCCTGAGCAGGACTTCTTGTTGACTTATTTGTTGACATGTTAATAAAATCGCACGTGGAAATTATTCTGCAGAATTAAATAAAAATAATCCGTATTATAGAGCATTTACCCAGCTTTTACGAAGTTGTAACTTGTAAAGGTACAATCACTTTCATGAGACAATATAAAACACGAAAACCAAATCAAAATCTCGCCTATATTATATTTTTACAGTCAAAGAGTCAAAGGCATATTGCTATAAAATGTCAACACTCACCATCATGGTCTTCAAAAGATAAATATTCCATTATAAATATCTCTAATCCCTCGCACGATTCAGACAAAACACTTCCCATGTACAGCAAAGGACCGCTACCGTCCAAAACATCCTCGATTTCTTCCATATTCGACGTTTTCGAGCACATTTGCAAGTTTTCGAGTGTTTTTGCAAGTTTTCGAGTCACGATATCACAGTCCCTCAAATCAGCGCTGCTCAAATTAACGCGACCGCGCGTTCGAATGAGGGACTGTGGAAGAGTCAGTCATTGAAAAGCTAAATAAAATAACTGTTCTTTCGTCGTATGTAAAAATTTAATTGTTTAGCCACGTTTATGATGCACGATAGCCTGTTGAATTTCCATAGCGTTTTTTTTAGATCCCTGTATAAGATGACCAACAATTCCTGCCTTTATGCTCACCGTATCGACTTAAGTTGTTCACCTTATCTCTGTTCCCTTAATATATTACCAATCTAACTAATTTTGTTGCGTTTTTAGGATTCTGATGAAAAAGAGATTGATCACCAAAATATTAAACCAACATTATTGTTGAAAAACTGTTTACAAGCTGCAGCAGCAAGAATTTATGATGAGTCAGCTGAAGTCGACAGAGCCACGAAACGTATTGAAATATTGCTAAAATGGTTGCCCGAAGATAATTCACAAGAAACAGGTTTGTAAATCGGTTAAATTCCACATAACTGTTGTATAGTTATATATAGTTACTCGGGCTTTCCGCAGGAAATGCCCGAGTTATAAAATGGGCTTCGTATTCTTTTCCACGTTCAGTCGCAAATCGCAGTCATGTCTTTGACACGCATGTGCAACGACACGTCATTCACCACGGAAAGAGTGTGTTGCACATGTCAACACAATAAGCTCAACGTGCATACAAAAGATGTACACACCGTTCATGGTAGACGTATACTAAAAGATTTCGAGCTTTTTCGGGACAGGTAGGTCCCCGAACATTATGAGAGATCAATTTATAAGAGATCAATTTATAAGCGAACATATATATGAGGGAACTTTTCATCGAGAAACATGCTATATCAACTGAGCTATGTTTATGCTCAGTTTGTGGCTAAATTTATGACCATATCACACCTTACGTCATCAAATATCCCATGTTCCCCCGTGAACATGGGGTTGAATATTATTCGCGTAGACCACGCGAGACAACCTTTGTTTTTTGCAAATTTGAAAAATGTTGTCATTAAGATTCCAAACGATATGTGATTCGAAAGAAAAGCGACGATACTTGCGTTAATCCAAAAACAAAACATCGTATTCACGAAGGCATGTGGCAAGTTTTACATTCTTGGAGACTTTTAATTTTCGATATAATATATCATTTATAGACCCTCTGCTCGGGGGCTTCGGCGAAATATTACCCTCAGTGATGATATTTCATCGGCGAAATATTACTCTCGGTGATAATATCATCACTTCGGGTAATATTTAGCTGAATCCGCCAAATCTCTGGCAACGATAGAGAAGGATATGTGCGAATCTCATCATGTATCCAGAGGTGATCGTGAACCGACTCACGTATATCGTTCCATGTATACTCATGTCATCTGCGGTGTATTGTTATGTCAATAGAAAGCATGAAAATAGAACAAAGTTTTGTTTGACTGTTGTGAACAAATTTCTCACAGTGGACCATTGTGTAAGGGATTTGGGAATTGAAAAAACCACGCTTCAATTATTAATGATTTTTTAAGCAAATACAGGGTGTCCAAAAAAACGAAAACTATTGAAATCACCAATAACAATTTAATTGTTAGAATTTGAATGCCTTAGCGCTCTGTTGGTTCCCACGAGTGCATAAATGATTGACATAAGTAAATTTTATGCATAAATAAACTGTTTAAGAAGCTGTTTTAAATTCCCAAGAGCAGAAAATCGCGGCGCAAATTACAAGGAGATGTTCTTAACTAAATTTTAATATATGCACCTTGTCAATATTTTACGCATCATTACATTCAGCTTTTTGGTAGGGCATTCAATTTTAACAATAAGTGATTTCAATAGTTTTCGGGTTTTTCGGGACACCCTGTATATGTACATGCCTGGACAACAATAAAACTTTTGTTATCATATACTGTACTGTACAGTGTGTAACGAAAAAAAGTATAGCCCTTCAAATCCAAATTAACGATAATTATAACTTAAAAGTGAATATTTGATTGTTCTCAATTGCTTTGAATTAATGATACGTGACACGAAATGTTTATTTACAAAAGAGATCGATGAGGCCTGTTCTAAACGTCGCATTTTACATGTGCATTCGGATAGCTGAAATGCCTCATTATCCATTGTTTTGAATGCATTTGGCGCATGTAAAATGCGACGAGTTTAGAACCGGCTTTATATTAACTCATTTTAATGTTGCTTGTACTGTACAGGATATTTCATTGAGTTGTTTGTACATGTCCAATAAGTAGAAAGCAAGGGTGGGTTGACTACAAAATTTTTGTAGTTCGCTATAACCACAGCTACTTCAAAAATATGTAGTCAGCTACAACTACTGCTACTTTTGAACAAAGGTAGTTCGCTACTGACTATAGCTACTGCTTAAAAAATGTAGCGAACTATTTCGCTACGCCTACGCTATATTTTTTAGTTCTACTGTATTTGGAGCATCTATAAAACTCAGACTGTAATGTAACCTATAACAAATAGACTTACGAGTAGCAACAGTAAACACAAAGCAGCATTTTTGTAATCACTACAGTGCTCAGGAGTGCAAATTGACAATTGAGTATCGATTTTAAGCAAACCTTATCTCAATATCATGCTATTCTATCAAGTTGTTAATTTTTAAAAGTAGCGAATAGCGATTTGCTGTTTGAAAAGTAGTCAACTACTTGGCTACTTTTAGGCAAAATGTAGTTCGCTATAACTACAGCTACTGTTTTAAAAATGTAGTCAAAAACTACTGGCTACTTGAAAATTGTAGTTCGCCACAGTAGCGAACTACAACTACTTCGCTACTACCCACCCTTGGTAGAAAGTCTTTTGTTTTACGGCTCGCTAACTTTTTCAAAGCAATTATATAGCTTGTCAGATGAATTCAATAGAATACGGGGTTTTAAATTCTGTCTTTTTGTAATGCGAATTCGCTTTACAATTTCAATGCTGACTTCAATGCTGATTGCTTCGTTTTGCGAGTTCAAAAAGCGCACCTAAATTAAAATATTTTAACTTCAATTAGAAAGAAATTTTTGGTAATTTTTCCAAATCAAAACTTATATCCATAAAACAATTTTCGAACTAAATTTTGAAAAAAACTGGGTTTTAATGCCACTTTACACGCGGCAATATTTCCAGCAACTTGCAACGTAATTCTGACATAGGCGCATATTATCTAAACAACAGTCACAGTAATATATGGAGTTCGGTCCCATGTCGAGATTTACCAGCGTATTTCTTTAAGATTTTTCCTCATTTTGCCTCTCAAGAAAGTGGAATGCAGACTGTGCTGATTGCTTCACTGTGATTGCTGTTTAGATAACGTCCGTCTATGCCAGAATTGCGTCGCAAGTTGCAGCAAAAATTCCGTCGTGTAACATGGCCTTTATTTATATTTTCATTTTCTTTTTCTCAGAAAAGAAAACAGTGAATATATAAATATATTGTAAACAATTACGTTGAAAACTTAGTTTCTTTTTAAAGGAAAGCCCAAGTACGCAGTTATGCGTCTAGTTATATATAGTTTGTAGAGACGTACAGGGATAGTTCCAGCCGGATTTGCTAGGGGATGCCAATCGAGGTTTGATCGTGGTTCAGGCACTGGTCTGTACTCTTGCATTTCTCAGTCATACTGCTTTCTTTTTGTAATGGCCTTTCCAAATCCTAAAACAGAATTTGATAAGGAACTTGGAACCCCCTGCAGCTGCCCCCTCCCGCCCCCTCCCAGTAAATCCATTCCTGAAGACGTAATAACTTTCGAATGTTACTGATCATGGATATAAGAAAATTGTCACTCTATTGACTAAGGTTAGTTTTAATTTAAGAAGGTTGTAATTAAAGGAAATTTCGATAAAATAACGGCGTGAAATTTTGGATGGAAAAATTTAGATGGAAAAAGCACGAATCATGTATTCATATTTGTATAGTAACTACAGTCAGTTTCTTATTACCGTATCCGAAGCTGTAAATGGTACATCTGTAGTTAATTTCAAAAATATTACTAGACAATCCTAATTTTCTTCTTAATTGTAATTGTAATTGTAATTAGTAATTGTAATAGTATTATGTACAGTGTGTGTAAAAAAACTGAACCCTTTCAAATTCAATTTAGCTATAACGTCTGTTTTTCTTTCAAATTTTCTAATTTTTATTTCTTTGACTTTTCTCCCATGAGTACAAGACCTTGTTTTTTTTTATCCAACCATTAATTCAAAGCAATTAGAGCTGTCAAATTACTACAATACGTTATAGCTAATTTGAACTTGAAAGGGTTCAGTTTTTTTTATACACGCTGTATATATATTTTTAATGTGCACGGCTCTATGGAAGAGCACATTTTGTGAAATGAACTCCGTGTGTAAATAAAGTTTTAATGATAATAATAATAATAATAATAATAATAATAATAATAATAATAATAATAATAATAATAATAATAATGATAATAATAATAATAATAATAATAATAATAATAATAATAGAGAGAACCTACCCCATAAGTCTGAAAACATGCTAATAACATGGTTAGGCAAGCTAAGTACCCACACCTACTTGCATTTTATTTTATTTCATTTCTGGGAGCCTTGTATTATTGTAATTTCTAAATTTGGCTATTTTTGGTTTGTTCATTGTACGTTGATTGGGAAACAGGTTTTATAGGTATTGACTATTGTTTTGTTTGGTGTTTATAACTGGCTTTTTGCCTCCATGGTTGCTTCAATATTTTGTTGGTATCTAAGTTGTTTAAGATTAGGTGATCTCTATACAGCTTAAAGTGAAAGTGCTTTGATTCACTTTTCGACATTGAATTACTTTAATTAAAAATTTATTAAGGTTTATAACATTAAAACCGAACTCAAGCTGGATGGCAACTAAACTACAGTTTTAATATTTATTTTTAGAGTTTTCCAAAATCCTTGCCACCCGCGTTCACAAATTACTCCGGCAACAAGACGAGAACTTATGCCATAAGAATCATAGACTGTGGGTACGGGATGAAGCTCTGCGTCAAGGACATCTTCAGGAAACTGGAACATTCAGAAAAGCGTTATGGCAGAAACTTTCCTCGATTGTTTCACCAATGTTATCTGAAGTGATTGCGTACTGTGATCAAAATCACAACCTCGATTTGCTAGGCGAAGAAAAGGAGTGGAAAACAAGATTGTGGCTAACACTAATCAATGAAGAAGCAATTACGCCTCTAAATTATGATTCTTTTACTTCTCCTGTATCTGGTAGAGTAAGAGAAAGAGCTCTTGTTTCGAGTACTGGAGTTGGATATTATTTTAGTGGGAAATTCCCATTTTCATGGATTATTAAAGATATGGTCAACGTTCTTTTGCTACAAGTTGGAGGTAGGTAGTCCCATATTTCATGTTTGATATCAGAACTTTTTGGTCTTGATATAGCGGGAAAATGATACCGATATCATTATTGATTGACCTTGTTGATTAGAGAGGAAAATTCTTTTGTGGAAATTTGAATGAAATTAGATTTCAATTTTCAAAAATGGAAAAGCCTGTGTTCACGATGTTATTTTAAATAACGTGAACTTTCTACATATTACATAGCAATCATGTTTATCCAGAGGTGAAAAACAGTATTTTATTGGAATTTTACCACCAATATTTAGCTTATTCCGCGAGAAAAGATAAATCACGACAACCATGGAAATAAAGACACACTAATGAAAGAAAATCAAGAGGTCAAACATCACAAGAGGACTTCAATTGTTATTGATTCGCATGGTAAAATATAACCATGCGCAAGTTGACTTGCTCTTTTGTATCATTGTGTTATTTTTTCTGAGGTTATGCATGTTAATATGTGCACGATCACGGTGATTGAGCTCACTGTATTTTCGTATAATGAAATAATCGTCTAATAGGGATAGCTGAGGTGAAACGTGTAACGGTGAATAATATTTAATAGAGCGAGACAAAGGATGTGAGGTACAGTTCAACTTTAAACAAAGATCTTGCATTTTGTGACTTTGAAGTCTACGGGGCTTCCAGGTCATCATATCTTCAGTGCGAGGACCTTGGAAAAATTCACGACTGTTGATAAAGCGTTGTTTGTCATGCACCACCGTGAGATTCGAACCCACATGCTCTGACGTGCAATCGCGCCACCAAAGCACTTACAAATACGTCGTCTGCATTTCATACAAACTTTGTGTTGCGTAAGATTTTTTAAATTTATTTTTTATCATTTATAGCTGATCCTTCCAAGACATTGATCTCATTAAGAGGTGTTTTTTACTCATCACCCCTTGGGCAATTATTAAAGTTTGCATTTGAGGATAAAAATATTAAAGAAGAAGCAGCAATGAACTACTTGAATGATTTCCTACATATGATGTACAAACCTGTCGTGGAGGGTGAATTACAGGTAATATGTAGCGAAGAGTGGAAACTGTGAACTTGTGTGTATGAAGCAACTACCTGACAATAAGAACAAACTTCGGGCAAAAGGCCTTCGTCTGAAGGTTCTAGTCTAGGTAGTGATGAACGTTTTTATAAGCTTGGTTGAAGGCTTTAGTTTCTGAAAAATAAAAACCGATTTTGAATTTTAATGGCTGAATTCTCAAGGTTTAAATAAATATTTCGAAATTAGTTATGTTTGTAAGCTGTTTGGAACATGATACGCCGAACTTGAATATTAATACGAACATGTGGTCACGAATGTGCGGAAAATACCCCCCTCATGTATAAGGCCTGCTGTCCAATTTAATACGAAGGACACAGATTTGGGTGGTTTGATGGAAATTAGTGTTCGTCGATGAGGAGGATGGTCGTGCATCTTTGAGGGTATTAGATTTATGTGACTATTTTAGTTGTAAGTAGACTGAATAGGAATGTCAACGTACCTGTTGATAGTGTTTTTGTCTATGCTGTGCCATGCTATATTCTATATCTATTCTATCTATTATTTCTATGGGTGGTAATCATACAAAATGGAAGAATTAACACGCCCTTTTTGAAAATTACGTCACAAAGAATTGCGTGGGAACCTCTTTCTCATGAATCAAAACTGAAAGCTATTCGCTCACAATTCGTGAGAACAAATACACCCTTTCAATAATTACGTGTTTCCTGGTTCACTGGTTGCCTTTAAATAGGCCAACCAATTTACTTAAATTTAAATTACTTGTAATTGTCTAATCCCCAGTTTATTTACTCTTCCACAGTTGATATCCGATGCTGTGTTTGCAGCTGCGGGAAAATTACATCAGTCGCTGTATGAAAACGAGGAATTTGAATTGGATATTCCTTTTATTCATTTTACCTACTCCTTGATTCAAGCTCGTTTGGTAAACTTTTCTGAACTTGTTCATGCTTTTCCTAATCTGGTTCAAACAATATTGACAAAACGTGATCAATTGGATGTTGGTGAAATGGTTAGTATTACCCATCATAGTAAAACAATAACGAAATAATTTTCAATTCTATTAGTTCCGGCAGTTTATAATCGGTTAAGCTGTTGGTGACATGACTTATATCCTGACCTTCTGGGTAAATTAATGTACTTCTGCAAGAGCCAATAGACAGCTGGTGTCTTTAAAAGTTTCGATGTTTCATTTAACTAAGACTGTATAGAAAAAACACATCAAACTACATCCATTATGCTTAAACAACTTTCAATGAATCTCCATGGCCTTTTAGGAGGGGGCCTGTACCGGTTTTGTGGGATGGCGGGATGCTTCTAAAATTGAAGTGCGATTCGGAATTTGAAGAGAAATATTGGTTGGGAAGCGGGATTTTATTCCATATCGTGGGAAGTGGGATTAATAAAAATACCATGACGATACGTGAGGAAGTAGTCCACGGTTAGCGGGATAAACAACAATGTTGATTATGGTGTGCTCGAAATTTACTGTTTTCAAGGATGATATCGATATTTATGCATGATTGCGGCTTTCAGAAGAGTCGCGATGTAGAGTCATTTATTATTTTAAACTTTTTTTATTGTATTCTAGTGTATTCAAATTGTATTTTATGTCTTTACCATGTCTTTGAGTACTTGGTTATTCGTTGTCTACATCTTAATCATAATACGTTGAACAGTGTTAGAAAAAAAAGTTGGTGGCGGGAAACTGGGATAAGGCATGGTGGGATAACGGGATTTGAAGTAAAAATTGGTCAGGATGGCGGAATTTCGGAACCCGGTACAGGGCCCTCTTTTAGGAATTCGTTTAAATCAGCAGAAATGATAACATGAACTTCATTGGTCTGCATGCAATTATTGCTGATTGCAGGTTATATAAGATGAAAATTATATTACACGTCATTGTGAACATTTTGGATAATGGATGTTTCCAATAATATGCTCAGCTTGATTATACCCATGTAAAAAGTACAAAATTTCAATTGTTTACGGATCCGCCGACCGTAAATATTCAGAAAGTGAAAAAAAATAAAATTTGGATGTCAAAAATTTTACAATTTTAGTTAATTTTAATTAATTTGGGGTTCTGACATGAAGTACACTTCAAGTGAACTTTGACTCTAGGTACTGCTGGCTCATGTTATCGTTGTGACAATCAATATGGAGATTAGCGACGTTTTTTTGAAATTGACGTTAAAAAATTTTATAAAGATTATTCAGTTTCGGTTCTCATTTATACTCAGTTCGTTTTTTTTTAAATTTTTTTCCGACCTACCGACCTCTTATTTTTAAAGTCAAATCCGTAAACCAATAAATAAAAAATGTCTTGCCTAATCGGACATTATAAATAACATATTGTTTCACGTCAGCTAAAAAAGGAAAGCTTCTCGGTGTTTCGAGCGTAAAACCATTGTAACGACAGTTACAACGCACTGGCTAGGACCATGGCGTCAGCATTTTGATGATGAATCATGGCGTGGCAGCGGTTACTCGAGTCGACCTGTGTACCTTATTCTGTGACCATAGTATCAGTTGTCAGGGTATCAAGGATCAGTACTTTTAACTCAACTAGAGCCAGAACACTATACAATTCAACGTTACTCAAAAACGTGCATATCAAAATATATTAAAATTTATATTGTTTGTGTGTGTGGAGTTCGTTTTGTTAATTGCTGCGCACCATTCTTGATTTGACTCTTGGATTCAGCGTATGCTTATATCCAGGAGGAATGAGGGTCTTCCCGAAATGCAACGCGCGTCTCAGTGCGGTCATTATTATTCAAGATATTTATAAGATATTTATTAAGATTAAAAAATGGTAATTTTGACGAGTACAAATTATTGTTAATGGACGATACTCAATGCGCTAGACCGAAAAATTATAGATTTTAAATGTCTATGTTAAGCCAACCCGAAAGCTACTATTGTCTAAACAAAGGAAGACTCTATCACAGACTTTCATTATTTGCTTGCCAAACCTGTAGGCTACTGCACCCAGTATTGTTAGGATATACTAGTAGACATATGAACATATAAGGATAAATTAGGAACATTGTTGACATTCATTGATAAAGAATGACACGTGACCTTAACACGTGAGAACATTATTGAAAAACGTTCGTTGTTCGTTGCATGTTTTGTGAAAGGCATATTTGTAATATGAAGCCATATTAACGCGCGTTTTCTTTCAATAAAACTATAAAAGTTAACAGGTATCGTTTATTAATTATTGTCCAAACCACTATGTTTGACCTATTCATAACTATAACTATAACAATGAAACTATAGTTAAACATGGGCAGATATCTGAGTTAGCTTTATCTGCCTATATCATTCTTACTTGGATTACGAACTGTAAAGACTGCTTTAAAGAGTCAACCACCCCATGCTCCAGCCTTTTCCCTGATGCAGCGAGATGGTACTTGGAAGTAATTACGGTATGTTATGGCTTATGCGAGTGTTAGTTACAACATAACGTTGAAGCATACGGACAAATCTTTGGCCGTTCGGCAGTCAGCACAGTCATACCACAACAGCTATGCCCGCCTACTGGGTGATATTGAATTCTCGGGAACATTGAACTATATTCAGACCAATATATAAATATTATTTTCGTTGGATATTAAAAGCTTATACACATTCACTAGACTGTTATATCAATGTTATCTATTTAATAAAATACAAAATAAAGAATGAAGTGTTTGAGGCAATTGCTCTAGTATGAGGGCGCAACTTTACCATAGACCTCACGTTTTCTTTACGGAATTCGGCAACCTGGCATACAGCCAATTCCCATTTACAAAAATCACTCTATTTCTGCATATGAGTATATATATGTGATGAGCCAGATCAGTGTTCTAAGAAATATTTCCCTTATCATTTTTCCCAGGGTCCAGCTGAGAGTATATGTCTTGCAGAGCGGGCTAGGACCCAGCTCTAAATGGAGTATATGTTCTAGCCGACTCAGGACCCAGCTCAAAGTCACGCGCGGTAAAAGTATATGTCTTGGGCAGATTAGGACCCAGCTGCAAACCAGTATATGTCCCAATCGACTCTCGCCAAGATCCAGCTTTTCAATATGAGTATATATGCCCTGGGAACCGCTCAGCACCCAGCTCTTCGCAGATAAAAAAATACAGTATTATTAATATAGAGCAGTTGTCCCACACTTCCATAACCCCACAAACCTTGTGTTCTTATGCGTGTCGTTATATTAAATCTCTCTCTCTCTCTCTCTCTCTCTCTCTCTATATATATATATATATATATATATATATAGATATAGATATATATATATGTATATATATATATATATATATATATATATATATATATATATATATATATATATATATATATATATATATATATATATATATATATATATATAATCACTAAACTGGCCACATCCCGCTAAGAATTTCAAACGGGGAAAGACGTTTGATAATTCCAAATTCAATTTTCGTTCAGTCATGTGATCAAATTGTTTCATCATTTTGGTCACATGACTTCACGATTTGACAGTGCTATTTATTCCCAGTCAACTTCGAAACAACTCAGTATATTACAAGATGGAGATCATATTTTCGCTAAAAGAGAGATCATATTATATGATAGATACTAGATGGATTGTTCATTACGATTATGGAACTTTAAAATGAACATAAAACGAATATTTCATATATTCTGTTGCATTGACCTTCGTTTGGATGTTTGTGACCTTGTTTACGTTTGAATAACTTGACTGTTGAGTAACGAATTTCTGACGTTTAATTCGAAACTACGCACCTGATTGGATAATAAAATTAGAAACCCATATACAAAAATAAATTGATAACAAAATCGTGAAGTCATGTGACCAAAATGATGAAACAATTTGATCACATGATTGAACGAAAATTGAATTTCGAATTATCAAACGTCTTTCCCCGTTTAATTTGAAATTCTTAGCGGGATGTGGCCAGTTTAGTGATTTTAGTAATATATATATATATATATATATATATATATATATATATATATATATATATATATATATATATATATATATATATATATATATATATATATATATATATATATATAAAACACGGTCGGTGAGGACATTAACCGTTGAAATATATTGCGATTTTTGCTGTGGAGATCTCGTTTTCTCAAAGGTATGTTTTGTGTTTTGATAACTTTTTTGTTTTTAGTAATTTAATAAAACAATTTTTGAATAATTTTATATATATATATATATATACGACCTTGTTTATTCGAAACCGGTTTTTGTGACGACATTTGCCGAAAATTTCGCTTCTTTTATTGAGTAAATTGTCTTTGTTTATGGCTTTCAAAATGCAAAATTTTTCTTCCAAACATAAATTGCAGCGTTTTGATCCCCGTGTTTTAAAATTGACCATTTGATGGTATAATCCTGATTGTTTTCTTTTAATTTCCAACACTCAAACCATCCACCAAGCATTACAAGACAATTACCTACAGCTATCAACAAACGCATTGCACTTCTCTCATCGGACGAACAAACATTTAAGGAATCTACACCCATTTACCAGAACGCTCTTAGACATAGTAACTTTGATCATGAATTTACGTACACTCAGGATGCACCGCAACGGACACGTAGGAATAGGCAACGCAACATAATATGGTTCAACCCACCATTTAGTAAGAGTGTTAACACGAACATAGGACGGGAATTCTTAAGTTTAATTGACAAACACTTTCCACTACAGCACAAACTACACAAGATTTTTAACAGAAACACATTAAAAGTAAGCTACAGTTGCATGAACAACGTATATATATATATATATATATATATATATATATATATATATATATATATATATATATATATATATATATATATATATATATATATATATATATATATATATATATATATATATATATATATATATATATATATATAACGTATTTACTCGTTTGAGCGCCGCGGCGCTCTTTAAATATTCAGAGCTTCAGATGCGGCGTTTATTCGAGGGC